ATATATATACAGTGTAAATATAATATGTATAATTGTATATGTATATTTTTTTTTTTGTTGGAACTAAGCTGGAAAAATAAATATGAAGGTCAATTTAGTCAGTGGTTCCCAACCAGGGTTATGTGTACTCTTTGGGGTATATGCGAGCATATAACAGAGGGTACATGGAAAAGTTTCCCAGGTGTGTAAAAACTTAAATAAATAAAAATATGACTGAGATATGGGGGGAAAATGCAGAAAATGCAAACAGAATCACGAAATTGACATAAAATGGAATCCTGTATAAAACGCGGAATTTCACAGAATTTTCTTATTTGGGGTATTTGATGTATTTAATACAATGTAATTTGGATGCTGCTGCTTCCTGCACCTGCCATTACCTAGTTTATTTATTCAATTACTTATTCACTTTCTAGGCATTGTATTTATCTTTAAATTGAATTTGAGTTTAAAAAAAATAAATGCCTGAGAATTAAATGTTCTAGGGGGTAAAAGAAATTATTTTTCATTTAATAATCAGCTGTTGTAATTATAGTTTTGGAGAATCATCATCACGTTTAGAGGGGGTACTAGTGGTATGACAAAATGGCCCAGGGGGTACACAAGTCTAAAAAAGGTTGGGAACCACTGAATTAAGTGATAAAACATGAGGTAAAGTTCTCTTTTTGCCTTTTAAATGTATTTATTTATTGGGCCATTTATATATTTCTGCTTTTATTTTCAATTATATCAGTTTTTGTCCTCCATACCTTTTGAACAGTTAAACATAAAAACAAAATGTTCTCTGACTTCAACAATGTCTGCAGATTTCACAAAGAGGCAAAGCTGCTCAAAATTATCTCGTGGCCATGAAAAATAAAAAATATAAATATATATCTATCACTGGATGGGCACGGTATGGTTTAACTTTGTGAAAAGTGTACAATTTATATTTCTGACAATAAGCTGTGAAAATATATTGGCTAAAGTTTTCTAATATTTACATATGTTCTTTTATTTTAGGCAAATGCTGCTGTACTCTCAGGAGGTGGGTGAAGACTGCACATCAAACGAAGAGGATCTTTTCATTCTGTGAGTCCTTGATGTTTTGTTTCTGCAGTGTTTGAGTCTTTGTGATCCACTGGTTTTATAGGATTTATCTACTGATGCGTTCCTTTTTAATGCTGTTTTTGTTCTTTCAGGTTCTTCATGGAGCTGAATAATCGCATCTTTCAGATCCTCTCGGAGGTGGCGGCGAGCGCTGACCCCACCCTCACGGCCGATCACGTGAGGGCCATGGGGCTGGACCCCCAGGGCGACCGCTCCTTCCTGCTGGACCTGTTGGACGTGTACGGCATCGATGTGGCGCTCGTCATAGACAACCTGTGCTGCTCCTGAGCCCACTAAACCCCTGGGGACACATGGACGCCAGTGGATTATTTGTACCTGCGAGGCCCACAAACATTAGGAAGCTGAAAACACTGCCTCCATCGTGGGACGTCCTCTGTGCTCCACTGTTTTCACGCTGGGTGTCTCTTCTCCTCGTCTCCTTTGACCCGTGGAGACGGCTCACTGTGGTTGATGTGAACACCTGACCTGGTACTCGTGGTCCCAGCGGCCGATCCACGCCTGGATATCAGAGCAGCTGATGGCCGCTGCCGTGTCTTGATGTTTTTGTGTTTGTGATTCTGGCTGCAGCACTGGCTCAGACCTCTTCACGGCCAGGATGACTGGACTTGGCTGCACTCGTGACCTCACAGTCCCTGACGCTCTCACTGWCCTGCAGCTCGGGTGAAGGAGAATCCTATCTGAAAAGGTTTAACCACTGGGAATAATTATTCAAACACCTTCTCTTAGAAGTTAAACAGACTCTTTTTTTTTGTTGTTGTTGAATCTACTTCTAAAAGTTGTTACGAGAAAGTTTTGTTTGCTTTTCAAAATGGAAATGACAGTAGCTGGAAGTTGAGTCTTTTTCACGCATAAATAAAATACAAAGCACTCTTTGAAGGGATGCATCTCGCCCGCTGCCTTTCATGTCACTACGTTCTGCAGAATCACATGCTGCATCACTCGGTGTCACACAATAATTTTCCTCTCAGCTATTATCACACCAAACCTTTGCACCGTTTCTCTCAAATTAACCAAATTGTAGCCATTTGAGTGTGTGAGTTTTTTTTAAGGTCGGTTAGCTTTGGTAGCCATCGTCTAAAATTGAAAAGTTTTACTAAAATTAATGATTCTTTACATATTTTGCTAATAAACAGACAAAGTTGACTCCATATATTGTATAAAAGGCAAAATATTTAACAAAGATGCCATCTATTAGCTCTCAGTATGTGTTTGGRATCAGTCTCAGCTACTATAACACYAAGTTTTAGCTCAATGACTGCTTCTGTCGCAGCGATGTCAGTTGATGTGGCTGCGGTGGCCATCTTTAATCAAAAGCTACTCGTTTACAAAGTTAAAAATATATATCCAGTGGTTTATAAGAGATGTTGGGATMAGACAGGCCTTCCAGCGGTGCATAATAAGAATAAATACATAAATATCTTTATTGTTGCTTTCATCATTGTCATTGAGAGGAGAGAGAAAAAAGCACTATAATTGGGAGGGGTCATTTCTATGGAGCTAAAKAGAAAACTACTTTAAGCTTTATGCACTTTGAACACAGGTCTCATGTGCTCTTGTCTGTGTCGGTCTGAGAAAATGGCCGATGTGTTCAGATAGAATTTTTTATCTCGTTGCTTCACTTGTTTTTTTTTCTTCAAATGATGGATATTTCGGTGAATATGTTCCACTTCTTGTGAATGCTGCACCGGTTCGTTGTTTCTCCTCGTGCACACGTCCGGCTCTGCTGTTTTCTACATTTATCCTTTGAACCGAGAGGAACTGTGGTGAAAAGATAAATATGTTTGTAGCTGATCGACTCACAAAGGTCATGTTTGTTGGATGAAAGGTAGCTGTCCTGCTGATAGCTGAGAGAAAAAAMAGCTTTAACTCCTGTTTGGTCCGATTCACTGGAAAGAGGTTTTCACGCTGGTCCCATTCAGCTCGTTTCTGCGTTAGGTTTGGATCAAATGTGTCCAAGATTTTCAAATCACACTGATAATTTGTTCCATGTTGGAACACAAGAGGATTGTTTTTTTTTTTTTGTCAAAATTTGAATCTTTTTAAATTCTGTTTGTGGATTTACATTTTCAAATAGAATCGTATTCTAAACATGCTCATTTCTGGTGTGGGTACCTTTTTTTATAATGATTTATCACCCTCTGAGTTACTTCTAAGAAAAAAAAAGAATAAAATGCACTGTTATATATGAAAGGAAAGGGGCAGTTAAGCTTTATTTTTAATATGGGGCCTTAAAATGTGACATTTTGAAACCTATAGCAAAATAGTTTGTCTATCTTTTTGTATGTTGGCATTATCTGCTGAAAGACTGTTTGCACTTGTGCGTAACCTTACTGAGTGTTCACTCTGCTTTCTCTTAACTTGTTTGCTTTCAAAGTGGAATGTACACAGCGCACACGCCACTGTATAAATGCCTTCTTGGAAATGTCCACAGTTGTGTACCAGCATCAGCTAACAATTACTGTACAGTCTGAATGTCAAAGGAAAAAGTGCTGCGCGCACGCAGCGTCACCTCCGAGTCGTGTAATTGTTTCCTTTTTTTTGCCCGATTGTAGTAAAAGTTGAGAGTAATCACAGAATGTAAGTCTCCACCTCTGTGTGTGAAACAGAGGCGTCGGTTATGTACACAAAACTCAACAGCATGAGCAACTGTCAGTTCCACTGTACTGCCTTTGTAAAACAATAAAACACTGATACTGTTCAAGTGTTATCTCACACTGCGCAGTTTCTGCACAGCCACCTTTACTAAATATACACACAGCTTCACTCTTAGTTTTCTAAAACACAACTTTTGTGTGATGTTTTATCACCTCAGGTCCTCTGCAAATATCTGATCCAACGTGGGTGAAAAAAAATCAATTTGTAGATAATTCTGTTTAACATTCTCTAGTTGTTAGGTGAATCATACACAAAACACCAGAATAAAGTAAATAAGTAAAAGTAGAAAATGACTGATAAAAATGAATTTCACTAATAAGAAAAGTGATACAACTGCTCACAATAATCAGGAAATAAAAAGTTATTTCACACACTCTAAGGCAGGGTTATTCAACTGAATTGCTCCAGGGGCCACAGTTACTGCAGGTCAACAGCTCAGGGGCCGAACACCCAGCAGTTAAAGACGTTATGTAAATAAACCAAGTATTACAAAGATGTGTTACCTTTGAAATAGTTTTTTTTTGCTGCATTTAATGAATATGAGGTGTAAAAACCACGTCTTCTGGTTCTGCGGAACTGCTGCTGCTCAATGAAGAGAGAAACTCTGAAACAGGCTGGTTGAACAGCAAGAATCTTTTTTTTTTTGCAGTCCAGGAGATTACAGCCAAAAACCAAATTGTGGCCTCCAAGCCAAAGGATTCACCAAATAAGAAAGATGAAGAACGAAGGCGAAGGACAGGGGCGTACAAGGCTCTTTATAGTGTAGTCCAACAGATGCACCATAAATTTTGTCACGGTRTACCTTAAGCATTCCTCTTYCTAAAATGGTAATATGTGCCGAGCTCTGAAGCTGGAGACTAAGAGACGTAACAAATCTGTGCATTCCTGAGAAGAGGCCCCCACTCTTAGACACTACAAATACAACAAACAGAACCCTATAAAAGTTGTGATAATTAAACAATATCAAAAACAAAAAGAACACATTCTCTCTTATTTACACAAATATTATTTTGACATCTCTGATTTGTCAGATTTTTAAACCTATTTTATTTTCACTTTCATAGTTTTATATTAAACTGTTTGTAGTTTTAACTGTCTTGGATATTCATAGAAATGGGTTTTACCAGATTGCAGCCGAGATTCTGGTGTTTCTGTAGATACCAAACATGTCCATGTTTAACTATGAGAACTTAAAGTAGAAAACTGGAGGTTTGGGCTTAAGAGATGAATGAACCAATTGGCGGGCCAAACTTTGGTCACTCGTGGGCTGGATGTGGCCCACTGGCCGCCAGTTGAATAGCCAACAACATGATCAACATGATTTAGACCACAATGGAAATAAGCTTTATGGTTTAGTGTGTTATCCATTTATGTTAATGTTACTGTATTTTATATGCAGTGCCATTTATATAATAAATAAAATGAATGAATTAGTTTATCTGCAAATAAAAAAAAGTTAATTTTGAGATAAGTTACCCTTTAACCAAGTTGTGTCGACTGGTTTCACTAAACTGAGAAAAAATGAGTTCAAATCAAATTCTATTCATCTCCAAACAGATCCAACACATAACCAATGAATTTACATACAGTACTTTAAGAGATGCCAACTAAGAACAACTTGTCTAAATAAACCAGATTGTCTTCACCATTGATCTCCTCTCTATCCACCACCTACAGCAGGATGGAGGTGACAGGAAGCAGAACAGCTGCCTGGAGAGGACAGGAAAGACCCCGACTAACAAGTGGTCCAGGCTTAGTTACAGAGAAATAAAAATGGTAGAAATAATAATAATAATCATGGGGAGTGAGGAAATGTTGTCAGTTTGCCTCCAGAAGTAAAACTTAGCTCAGAAAACCCAAACCTGAGCAAAAAGTGAAGTCTCAGAGCAGACAGGCCTCAGACAGAAACAGGAAGTTGGGGTCCACAAGACTGGTCCATTCTTTTTATTGTAACATGACCTGAGACAACTTCTGTTGTAAATAAAAAAATAAATAAATTGAATTATATTTTTAAAAAATCACACAAGTACCAGGTGATATTTAACTGGACATACTGCATTTATTTATTTATTAAACATCTGAACAAGTGACAACAGCTGTAACTCATTTAGTAAACTCAGTCTGTATTTAAAAAAGACATTAAGATGGGTTAAAAAACTCAAAAGGTCCTTGTGTATGTAGGTAACGTAATCTGCTTTGAGCTGGTTAAAATATCTCCAACTCTTTTATTCTCTGTAAACAGGATGTAAATGAAACTGATCGACAACATTTAAAAACATGAAAAAAAATCAGTTTTCAAAGTTCATTTATGATCTTTTGATACGAGATGTTTCTTTTAAAGTTAGTTTTAATCCTTTTACTGGTTCAGTTTTTTTTCCATCACTGTGGCTGTGAGAGGAGCTGCTCTCTGCGCTCTGCACTGATGAAGAAGCGTAGTTTCCGCGGCAAAAGTCTGATCTCCACCGGCATGGCYTCGTACTCCTCGTTGTCGATATTGTAGAAGCCGGAGGCGCCCTGCAGGAGCGAGGGGGGAAAAAAACAAATGACCCGTTGCGTGACAAAAACTCCAACACTGACTYATAAAAAAACTAAAACAAAACTGGTCTAATTTACGATGTAGTAAATTTAAATCTGCAGTCATTTAAACCAATTCTCACCTCTGGCACCTTTACTCGACAAGCACTAGCTTCCAGTTTAGTGGAATTTTCTGTGAATACTGTTGGGTCCTTTTGTTTTTTATTTCTGAAACGAGAAATATGGAGAGAAACACGTTTTAGATGAAAGTCTGAGTGACAGGAGACCGGCGAAGGCTGCGGGTACTGACCCGACAGAGAYGAAGTCGCCCACGGTGAAGTCATTCGGCTCGGCGCAGATCATCAGAGAGTCATTTACCCGCTACACATTCAGGAAAGGAGACACAGGAAATAGAGGCGTAGATGAGTTAACATGCGCCGTGGTTTATCAAGAGAAGCTGGTAGATTTTTAAAATGTTTCCCACTGACCCTCTCTACTGGGTTTCTGTTGTGTGTTTGGATGTAGAACTCTACTGTCGACAGCTGCTGCTCCTCCCACTTCTCTGGCTCTTCCACTTTTGGAGGCTCTGAGCAAAAGCAAATTTAAAAAAAAAATATATAATAAAATAAAACTCAGTGTTATGTTGCAGTCCTGAGACTTAAATACGAGTTTCTTATTTTATTACCTTTAGCCTTCCAGTAGTTCTTCAGTCTGCGAATGATGCGGTAGATCAGGTTGGGCCTGGGGGCCTTCTGAGAGGGCGGGTCAGGAGGCCGGGGCGTGGGGGTTAAATAAGAAACAGAAACATCTCGGACCACAGGCCACTCCTAAAAAAAGAATCAAAAAAATTCATTTAATCATATTTGTGTATACAAATAAATATAAGAGCATTTGATCTAAATCCAGAACTTTACCCTCAGAGTGTGAAACCAGTGAGCTGCGCTGCTCTTCAATGGTCCAAGGTACCAATATCTGTTTGGACAAGACATTAAAGTAATTTTATTGTTTATTATGAATCATGTATTAATCAGTCTGACCATCTGGCTCATTTTACTTGCTAATCTTTGCCGCCACATCTCTAAAAGCACCCCAACGCAATCCGACCAGAGCGAAAACAGGCTGCTCCTTCTCTCCCTGCAAAACATGCAAATACACTTAACATAACACAAACAACTCGTGACCAAGTGTTATAGCTTGTATCAGTCATTTTTCCTGCAAAATAACTTAGTTTTTATTGTTTTAAAATATAAAAATATGTACAATCTATTAAATAAACAAACTCTGATGGAAGTCGCACACTGTAATGGTTTTGTGAATGAGAAGAAGTGTTTCTTACTTTGATTTGGAGCACATCCAGTGGTACAGTTTCTCCTTTCAAAATGGACAGCGTGGCTGACGTAATGTCTCTAAAAATATCACAGAATTTAAAACAAAAAACAATAAAATACATACGTGAGTTATATAAAATAACAGCAGTAGTCTATCAGGGTACTTACTTCACTTTGTTGTCACAGAGTAAATGAAGACTTGGACTCAGGGAATTATTRGCACCAAGTGGAATAAATCCGATCGGTGTATTACTGAAGCTCTCCTATTGTTGAAAAAATACACTTAAAATTAATTTCCCACTTATTACTTGCTGCCAATTAGTATAGAGCATGATAATGAAATACTTGATCGGGCCTCCGCAGTAAACCTGTGATGACTTCCTGCAACGTGCCGTCCCCTCCAGCTACAATCAGCATGTCTGTTTGTTCCATCAGCTCTATCAGTTTTTTTGCCTGGCCTTCGTAGTCAGTCTGTAGAGGAAAGTGTAACAAATGTATTATCTCGTGTTTGGTGACCCTTTCTCTAAGCTACTGAAAATGAAAACATAGCATTTAAAAAACAACTGATGATACCTTGACTACTGTAATCTCYACTCCAGCCAGGTGTAAAATAGGAGCAGCATTCTTTTCAAATAAATTATTGGCTTTCCTGGAGAAATAAAAATAAAAACAGGAAAGTAAAATATTTGAAGAGTAAGCCGACTGTTATGAGTTTTTTTATTCGTGCCTTCTTACCCATTGGATGCTGCAGGGTTCAAAATTACAGTTGCTTTTTTCAGCTGCTCCTGAGGTGCTATTAACTGACGTCCAAATTCCTACCGAGGGGGGAAAAATGGTTTGAAGCACATTAACATAAGAAAATGTCATTGTAATTGTATTTACACATGTTTATTAAAAGGAAAATAAGTGATTCTTTACCCTGGCCAACTGGCAAGCCTCTCTGCGCACAACACTGTCACTAAAAAAAGAAAGWAATTTTTATTTATTTATATTTATATACAACATTTAGGACAAAGAACAAACATAACTACATATAGTGAAAATCTAAAGCTCAGGAACCCACCAGTGTTTACCATAGAACCAGTATCCCCCGTAGGAAAGGACGCAGACAGCAAATGTAGATTTCTTCCAGTGATTTCGAAGAGTTCGAAACACTTTTACAACACGAGCCATGATTATTAAACAATAAACTCTTCTACTTTTGGTGGGGTGTTAAATTTACAACGGTCCACACGACTGAAAATCACGAAAAACAGATGTTTACCACAGCGGTCATTATGGATTGATTTGCTGCATGTACGTAGTGGTGTAACATTAAAATAGTACCGAGTCCGACAAAAACAAGGCGGAACCGAAGTAAGAGCGCGTGATACGTAAACATGTTATCGCACACCCGCACACTATTAGTTTTGTTTAAACTAAATAAACACATACGTTTTTTACACATTAATTTTAAGTTTGTCTACATTATTTCCTAAGTTAAACAAACTAYCCTAGTAAACTACAATTCCCATCAAACCAAAGGTGAACTTCCATGACAGTCGGAGGACCCCGCCTGAACGTTTTACCAAGAAACAAAAAACAAGTTAAAATATCCGTTTGATTTAGTAAGTGAGCATACAGTTTAAATTAAAAGTGTATTTGTTTAGCAAACCTGACCAAGACAACACTGTATTTTTCATATAGTATTTAATATTTTATATTTCACTCCGGCAGAAACCCTAAAGCCTGCTGTCCTAAATTTTCCGAGTGTATCATGGCGGCGCCGATGGCGGTAAATTCAGGTAACAATGTTTATTTTAATAAGTAGTTTTATTGCAACTTTTTCTAATGTATGATGATAATTAATATAGAATTTTAAGGTCATTAAGTGTTAAATGTAATTGAAAGGTAGCTGTTTTTACGTATTTTATCCGCATTTACGGCTGACTCAAGCTCGGGCATGGGGCTGATGGCTACTTCTTTAGCCTAACCATTGATTGCCCAAAYGTTTGAATAGCATGTAATTGAGTGTACACATAGGCAATTACTATATCCCATTTCACTAATAAAATATAGAAAAACACACAGAGAAATTTATTATATGTATACATTAGTTATATTGTTGTGTTAGTCTGTTGGTGTGTTTACTTTTTTGGAAATAAAATTGAAACTCCCTTGTTTGTGTTCAGACTTATACGATTTTCTGATTTAATTTTGTAATACTGGTCCTTACTGAGACTTGTACTTTTTCATTTGGTTAATTTGTATTAACTAATATAGTAACATTTGTGACCATAATAATGTAAATCAGCAAATTGTTTGGATTATAACGGAATTAGTCCTCTGAAGTATTAATGACTGTCACAGACATTTACAATTTGTTTCTGCATTTAATTAGCTGTGTTATCGGGTAAAAGGTTATTTATCATTAATGCATGTTGTCTCATGAGTAGTAGTAGCAGCACGTCACGTTCAAAATCGTCTGAATATCTAAACAGAGCAAGACAAAAATGCTTGAAAKGCAGCTTGTAGTCATGCCACTTTAAAAACAAATGTTCAATTAAACATTTYGTCAAGCTTAGTGTGATGAACCTCTTTTCTGACTTAGGAGCCAGTCTGTGGGGACCACTTAAAGAACTATGGGAGACAGTCGACGCAGCAGTGCTGAAGAGACAACCAGAGACTGTCCACCTTTTGGATCTGCAACTGAAGAAACACAAACCACACTTTCTCTCACTCTTTAAGAACCCGGTGAGAAAATTTGCGTACTTCCCAGCTTTTTTGCTTCGTTCATGAACGTTCATGATATTTTTCTTCTCATCTTGTGCAATCCTTTTAGCCAAAGAGTGCAGAGCAGAGAGAGAAAGTACGCAAAGCCAGCACAGAAGGCATCGCAATTCAAGGCCAACAGGGTTCACGTCTTCTTCCAGAACAACTCCTGACGGAGGCCTTTATTCTCAGTGATCTTTTTGACATTGGGGAGTTGGCAGCTTTGGAGCTTCTTTTGGCAGGTGAAGTGAAAAATCTTGCAAACAAACACGATTTAAGAGGATTTTTTTTTTTTTTATACTCTTTATTTAACATTTTTCTTTATTACAATGGAACATACAACACACAGAACTCGGGGCGCTGATTTACAGTTGAGTAAAAGAAAACATTATAAGATGTTGCACATAGTTACGCTTCCTTGTTCTTATATGTTAGCCATTTAGACCAGCGTTTGTAGTACACATGACCTTTTATATGTAAAAGGTATGTCAGTTTCTCCATAGTGTGGATCTCTTCCACAGCTTCCCTCCAATGAACCTGCTGGGGGGGGAGATTCTTTAGCCAAAACCGTGTAATAGCTTTTTTACTTGCAATTGATAAAATTTTAAAAAGGTATTCATCTTCTTTTTGAAACACTTCTCCATTTATCAGCCCCAGCATAAAGATTCTGGGGTCTTTGGGGATGGCATACCCCAAAATTGTCCCAATAGTCCGGCAGATTACATCCCAATACGATGTCAATTTAGGGCAGGACCAAAATACATGTGAGTGATTGACATTCTGGTGGCCACATTGTCTCCAACATTTCTGCACTTCTCCTCTATATTTACTAGTAATTTCAGGCGTAATAAAGTATCTAATTAAGCACTTCCATCCAAATTCCTTCCATCTCTTAGAGCTGGTAGTTGTC